TGTATCAGAATTGTTCAAGAAGCTTGTTAGATGACAAGTGTCTGAGCCCTGACTCCAGACAGATGGATACAGCTGCCCCCATGTGGTCAGCCATCGTCAATTTAAACAGGCCTCTCACCCCAAGATGTGTGTCACCAGTAGGTACCTAGCAAACATTAGCTCTGGGAGCTGCTTCTGGTTGGCAAGAGTAATGGGTGGCCAACCTCCCTTCTGTCCTTTCCTTCCCTCCCTCCCGCCGTTCCTTCCTAGCAATACACCTACTACCTACCTAGCTACCTACCTTCCTACCTGCCTACTCACTCACCTATCTGTCTGCCCCTCACCTCTCCGCTGCCTATGGTCATTGAGCCCTGTGCTGGTGCTGAGAGAAGGGGCAGAGAATCCAAGACCCAGTCTGCCCTCTGGGAATCCCCCATCTGCATTCTCTTCCTTTTGGGTGTCTGCCAGGAAGATGGGGGCTGTGTCTGTTCACAGAGCCCCTGGGGTCTCAGCCACTGTGCTGAGGTCGGCCTGGCTCAGGGGAGGTCTTCCTCAGGTCCAGAAAATCAGACCGCTTAGTTCTGTTAGCTTCCAGCACAGTGGGTGTGATTTTAAATCCTACGTCCTCTGATCCTGGCGTTGGTTCTGTGCTTTCTCGGCTTCCATCTTGCTCTGCATTAGTTTGAGACATTTTGCTGAGATCTGCTTCTTTATTCTAGAAGTCATGTTTAAGACCGCTGCTTGCCCTCTATACACATACATACACACACACACGCATATATATATGTGAACGCATGTATACACATATACATGTACCTGTATGAATGCATGTGCGCACATACATATACATGAATGTATATGTACACAAGCCCATGTACACATGTGAGTAGATGTGTACATGCATATATACATACATATATATGTGTGTGTATGTCAAAGACTTCATATTACTTGGTTCTACAGTCAACACCAATGGAAGCAGCAGTCGAGACATCAGACAACCTATTGCATTGGGCAAATCTGCTGCCAAAGACCTCTTTCAGGTGCTGAAGACCAGTGATGTCTCCTTGAAGACTATGGTGCACCTAAGCTGAGCCATGGTGTTTTCAGTCGCCTCGTATGCATGTGAGAGCTGGACGATGAATAAGGAAGACTGAAGAAGGTCAATGCTTTTGAGCTGTGGTGCTGGCAAAGAATGCTGAAAGTACCGTGGACTGCCAAAAGAACTAACAAGTCTGTCCTGGAAGAAGTGCAGCTGGAATGCTCCTTGGAAGCGAGAATGGCCAGACTTTGTCTCACCTACTTTGGTCATGTTGTCAGAAGGAACCATTCCCTAGAGAAGGATGTCATGCTTGGTAAAGTGGAGGGTCAGTGAACAAGGGGAAGGCCCTCAATGAGATGGACTGACACAGTGGCTGCAACGATGGGCTCAGATACAGCAGGGATTGTGAGGCTGGTGCAGGACCAGGCAGTGTTTTGTTCTGTTGTCCATGGGTCACTATAAGTTGGAGCCAACTCGATGGCATCCAACAGCAATAACATACATGTGCATGTATACATACAGACATACATGTACACAAAATACATGTACACACACATATGTATATACACACAGATACACAACACACACATATGCATGCATGTACATGTACCTAATCACACATATATATGTGTACACACACATATATATACACATACAAACATGTGCATACACATATGCACACATACACCCACGTATACATACATATTTATACACACATATATACTGGCAGACACCCATATACACATATATGCATACATGTATATACACATACACACATGTATGCACACATATATAAATGCATGCATATGCACATATACATACACACACATATACATACACAGAGATACATACAGGCACAGACATGTACATATCTGCACAAATACATACATGTATATATACATATACATGTGTATACATACATACATATATATATATATACATACATACATACACATACATATATAACATTTTATTCCTTTTAAATGAGGTATTGCATTGGGCAAATCTGCGAAAGAGCTCTTTAGAGTCTTAGAAAGCAGAGATGTCACTGTGAGGACTAAGGTGTGCCTGACCCAAGCCGTGGTATTTTCAGTGGCTTCATATGTGTATGGAAGCTGGACGATGAATAAGGAAACTAAGGAAGAGCTGATGCATTTGAGTGATGATATTGATAAAGAATATTGAAAATACCATGGATGCTGGAGGAATACTTCTGTCCTGGACGAAGTGCAGCCGGAATGCTCCTTGGAAGTGAGGCTGGGGAGCCTTTGTCTCATGTACTTTGGACTTGTTACCGGGAAGGACCAGTCCCTGGAGAAGGCCATCATTTTTGGTAAAGTGGACGGTCAGCAGAAAAGAGAGAGGCCCTCAATGTGGTGGACGGACATGGCTGCAATGATGGGCTCGAGCGCAGTGAAGATTGTGAGGCTGGCACCGGCCTGGGCAGGGTTTTGTTCTGTTGCACACAGGGTTTCTGTGAGTGGGAACTGACCCGAGAGCGGCTGAGGACAAGCAGCGAGGGCTCCTACAGACATCTCAGACGGTCGACCACCGTTGTGTCTCCATGCTGCTCTCAGCTCCCTGCCACAGAACGGGCACGCTGCTATTCTCCTGGCTCCTCCCCGACAGAACCGGACTTGGGAGCTTTCCCAGCATGCTGGCTGGCTCGTCTGCTCTCAGTTTGACCTTCTTTGTGGCCCGGACAGACTTTGGATCCTGTATTTAAGGTGATGGATGTGAAGGGCGTGGCTCAGGCAGGCCAGGCTATGCTCCAGTTTCCTCCACAAAGCTCACATGTCAGAGGCCTTGTAAATGACCGGGAGTCACAGACGAGGTCATCAAGCCTTGAAGTGTCTGCTCCGGCCAGGAGAAGGCGCCCCCCCTTAGACTGTGCAGGCTGCTCTGCAGGGGTTTCTTCTGGGCTCTGCTGGGTCTTTCGGGCACATTGTGCCCCCCTCCTGTTCTGTAGGCCAGTACTGTCACTCAAAGCAGGAGGGACGTGGGCTAGCCACATGGAAGAACACTGGTGTCTTGGGGGCCTCTCAGGCTGAGGGCACCATGGTTTCTGGTTCTGGAGGAAGAGTGACACTGATCAGGATGGGTATTCTGAGCTTCCAGGGCCTCTGGAAGTGAGGGGGTAGGCTAGTGGGGAGGGAGTTGAGTGTGTGTGTGTGCACGCACACATGTGTGTGAGTGTGTTGTGGGCTGAGAGGGTGTCTGACACTTCTGGAAGTGAGGGGGTAGGATAGTGGGAGGGAGTTGGTGTGTGTGTGCACACACGTGTGTGTGTGTGTGTTGTGGGGTGAGAGGGTGTCTGATGCCTCTGGAAGTGAGGGGTGGGCCAGTGGGGAGGGAGTTGCGTGTGTGCATGTGCCTGCGTGTGTGTGCACACGTGTGCACTGTGGCGTCTTCGTTTCTGACGCCTCTTTGTGCCCCAGTTCTGGATGTCCATCGTGGCCACCACCATGCCCATTCCCTGCGGAGGCTTCATGCCTGTGTTTGTGCTCGGTAAGTTCTGATGGCACCCTGGCAGGATAAGGGAATGCTTGGAACCAGGGTTTGTACTTGGTCTTAGCACCCACGGAGGGCTCACCGGCCCTTCCCTCACACTGTCTGCCCTCTAGGAGCTGCCTTCGGAAGGCTGGTGGGGGAGCTGATGGCCATGCTGTTTCCTGATGGGATCTTATTTGATGGCATCATCTACAAGATCCTCCCTGGGGGCTACGCGGTGATTGGTAAGACTCACACCCGCCCGACACTGAACATCGAGGGCCCTCAACACCTTCCCTGCAGGCTACACAACATGGTTTTAACTCAACTTTAAGTCACAGACTCAGCCCTCGGTCTGACTGTCATGAACTGTTACTGACTTTGTTTGAGGCTCGTGTGGCTCTCGTGTAGGGATGAGAACATCTAGGGTTGTGTCTGGGTGGCCGCGAGGGGTTTTGTCTCCTTCCTAAGACTCACGGAGACAGTGCCAGAGACCAGCTCAGACACCCCGACCTGCAGATCGGCTAGGGGGCGAGCACTGGTGGGGACTCAGGGCTGTAGCCTTGTCGCCTGGTGGCCACTGGTCACCGACGGCCATGGAGTTGGTTAGCTGCCTGCCTGGGCTTCATTTCTTTATTCTGAAATGACTCCGACATATTTCAGTCTGACGTTTTGAGAGTCTGTGATACCCGTTGCTTTAAATCTATTGTCCCAGCCAACCCAGAGCCAGTGCAGCACAGAGACCAGCAGAGTCCCCGGGGTAGCAGGCCCCCTCCCCCTGAGCATTCCACAGCCCCACAGCCGTGCCTCCCCAGGAGGCGGGAGCACTGGCCAGCTCCACAGCTCAGTGGGCCTGTGCCCCTATCGCAGCGTCTTCCAGTCACCTCTTCTTCCTCAGTCATGTCTCTCAGTCCCTGCTCCCCCATGTACCTTCCCCAGTATGTATACTTCCTACAATAGAGTTCAAAACTGAACAAACCCACTGCCGTGGAGTCGATTCCGACTCACAGCACCCCTAGAGGACAGAGTAGAACTGCCCCAGAGGGTTTCCAAGGCTGTCATTCTTCATGGAAGCAAACTGTCTCATGTTTCTTCCACCCAGTGGCTGGCAGGTTCGAACCTTTGGTTAGCAGCTGAATGCCTTAACCACTGCGCCACCAGAGCTCCTTGATGGTTCAAGCCCTGAGGTGTATTGTGCGGACCGCCCAGTGGTGCTGGCCCCCCAGCCCCTCCCTCCTGTGACTCTTCTCTGATCCGTTTCCCGCATGCTTTCCTAGCATCGCCCCCAACGGTGGCCCCGCTGTACTGAATAAGCCATGGATCTGACACAGGGACGGTCCTGGTGGATGGGGAGCTAGAAGCACAGACAGGGAAGGTGGGCGTCTATCCTCAAAGAGCTTACTGAGTCATAACGGTTTAGATCTACACGTGCCTTTGAGATCACCACACCCACCCCTTTGACCTTGCAGATGAGAGCCTGGGGTTCTGGGCACCCCAGATGTGGATCAGAAACAGCTGAGTCAGAGCTTGACTGGACGTCAGTGCTCCCAGCCCACAGTGAGACCCTTGGGTCTTCATGGTATTTAGCTCCTCATTGTTGACATCAAGACCTGAGGCCCAAGATACAAGCCCAGGCTGGGTTTTAAAGTGCTCAGTTACAAACGCTCCAAACTCTGAAAAGTGAGAAATGGGGAGGCTGTCTTGTTTTCATTTTATAAATGAAGATTTTGGCACACACCTGCTTTTGTGACTCGCTGAAAGTCATAGAATGACATCAACACCACTGTTTTCTAACTGCTCAGCCCCTAGTCCTTACTTGACCTGTTGCCATCTTATGGCACAGACCGGGATGTGTCTCCTATCCCCAATCTTCCCAGCACAGCCCTGTGTGTCCTCACCTAAGGGTGGCCACCCTAACCCTGCGGTGTGGATGTATCTCATCCCAGGAGCAGCTGCGCTGACAGGTGCCGTGTCCCACACCGTCTCCACGGCCGTGATCTGCTTTGAGCTGACGGGTCAGATTGCTCACATCCTGCCCATGATGGTGGCCGTTATCTTGGCCAACATGGTGGCACAGAGCCTGCAGCCATCCCTCTATGACAGCATTATCCAGGTCAAGAAGCTGCCCTACTTACCAGACCTGGGTTGGAACCAGCTCAGGTGAGGGGAGCAGCTGGTAGAGCTCGGGCTGGTGGGGGGCGAGGGGAGCTCTGGGGTTGGGGTCATGTTGGGAAGCATCGTGTGTGATCCCCTGCGCGGTAGGCCTCATGACAGGAGGAGAAGGGCAGTGGGGCCTGGGACGTGGCTGACCACCATACTTTCTCCCTCCACAGCAAATTTACAATCTTTGTGGAGGACATCATGGTGCGTGACGTGAAGTTTGTTTCAGCTTCTTGTACTTACGGGGAGTTACAAGCCCTGCTGCAGACAACCACCGTCAAGACCTTACCTCTAGTGGATTCAAAAGGTTGGTGGGAAGCCAGGGCTGGGCACTGTGGTGCAGCCATCCTCAGGGCCACCAGTTGGCTAATGGAGGCCCAGCCTGGGCTCCTCAGGGGACGTGTCCACCCTCAAGAAAGAAAACATAGCTGTGTTGCAGCAAAACAGGACATCGAAGCAATGAATCTGTGGCCCCTGACATGGTTCCCTTTGCTACTTGGCTGAGTGCAGGGCAGGGCCAGTGGCCGCTGAGTTGACCCCAGAGCATGGTGACTCCATGTGGGTACAGTAGGGCTGTAGTCCCAGGGCTTTTAATGGCTGATCGTTTGCAAGCAGACCCTGAGGCCTTTCTTCCAAGCTGCCTCTGGGTGGGCTTGAGCTACAGACCTTTCCGTTAGCAGCTGAGGGTGTTAACCACTTTGCGGCACCTGGGGACTCCCCCGCTGAACCATACTCACTCTTCAATGCCCAGCTTACACCACTGAGGAGATGAACCTGCTCCTCACGGGGAGGCGGACTGTTCTAGCAGATTCCACACCTCCCCTCCTACTGCAAAAAGGGCGTGGAGGTGGTGTTGTCTGACTTCCTCTAACTTCATGGGTGTGTGTGTGTGTGTGTGTGTGTGTGTCAAGATGGACATCAACAGCCAGAGGCTGATCCCCGTGAGGCAGAGGCCAGACACAACACCGCCTTCCAGCCTTTACCAATTCTGTCACCACCCGTAGTGCTCTCTGCTTCTCTGCTGGGTTTGATAATCTATTGCAATGGCCACACGGAACTCATAGATGATACTCATGATTATGGGGTTACTAGGGAAGGAACAGGATCAGAAACAAGTCAGGATGCAGTTCTTCAATCAGGACAGCTTCTTCTCAGCTATGTCATGGGCATGCTTCTTTCTGGCCTTGGCCTCTGCCCTGCCTGGGCCCCATTCAACTCGCATGCCTCCTGCCCGAGGGCACTCGGCTTTCTCGCTCCAGGGGCCGGGCAGCTTGCCGCTCTGTCTCGTGCCAGTCTCTTGGTTCTGCTCATCCTGCCATCTCTGCTGCCTCCTCTCTGCCTCTCATTGCGGGGTCTCAGCATCACTCCTGGCTCTTCTTTCTTGAGGGCAGTGAGATCCCCCCCATTCCACTTCCGGGAGGGCTCATTTAAGCCTAGGGGATGGGAAAACTGACCAGTCCCCCACGGTAGGGTTCCATACCCCTTATTTCCACAGTCCCACCCCGACAAGGGTGCCATTACCTTGTTTACATTATTAGCAAGCTACCCAGTCCCCTTTGTGGGGCACAGGCACCTCACATTTGCGTAGTCCACCCAGGCATCTTGTGGAAGTCACAAAGACTTGGCTAAAGAGCCACGTTCGCACACCTCCCTTCAGCCCTCCACCCTGCATTCTGCTGTTTGTGGTTCTATGTGGTTCATAGACCGGCATCTTATCTCCTCACTATACTGGAAGCTCCTTGGGGTAGAAGCCTTAGCTTCTGTGTTCCCAGAGTGTCTTTTTATCGACATTTAATAGACCATGAATGGATACGTGCCTCGTGTTTGAGGTGGCGCGACTGAGGAAATGGCCATTTGGGGCCATTAAAGAAGTTCTGAGCTCAGGAGCTCGGGGTGTCCATGCTGATCATGTTAGATTCATTCTGAGTGTTTGCCCGACTGGGGCTCTTCCTTGGAGCAGGGTGCGGCCAGGGGGTGATAAAACACCAGACACAGAGGTTGAGAACAACCGCTTAGAGGGGTCCCCCTTTTAGCTCACTGCAGGGTACAAGATGCGGGGGATGTACCGCATAGACTCACTGGCCACCTTTCCATTCATGTGACTGGAGTTTGGTCAGTCTTCTTCTTTGCATGGGTTGATTCGTTGATTTTCATCCTGGGCTCAGCTGTAAACAGGGTGTATGGGGCTGGATCAAAATACTGCCAAGTAGTGCCCTGCCAGTCACCTCAAGTGATCAGTGAAGGGAGTGAAGGGATTGACGGAGGTCAGGCCTGGAAGGTTCCAGAAGGGGTTTCCAGGGGGATGGGCCAAAGCTTAGCTCGGTCCCTGGGGGTTATGCACGATCTCTGCACAGCTGCCCCCTGAAGGGTTGGGAGTGTGAACCCATGCAGAGGCAGTGTGGACGAAAGGCCTGGCCATTTGCTTCCAAAACATCACAGCCAAGAGAACCCCGTGGGGTGGTTCTACTCCATACACATGGGGTCACCATGAGCCAGAAGCAACTGATGGCAGCTAACAGCAACTAATCCAAAGGTTGGGAGTTCAGATCCACCCACCATTCCTTACCATAAAGATCACAGCCCTGAAACCCCAATGGGGCAGTTCTACTCTGAGCCCAGGGTCGCCGTGAGCCAGAACTGACGACAGCCACGGGGTGGTTGGGTCGCGCTCAGGACTGCCCCACTGGTGCTGCCCTCTCTGCTGCCGCTGTGCGTCAGGGAGCCCCAGCTGCACAGGCCTCAGGTGAGCTGTGTCCCCAGAGTCCATGATCCTGCTGGGCTCCGTGGAGCGGTCGGAGCTGCAGGCCCTGCTGCAGCAACACTTGAGTGCCGAGCGGCGGCTGCGGGCCACCCAGGACATGGCCCGGAAGCTGTCGGAGCTGCCCTACGACGGGAGGGCGGCCCTGGGGGGCCCCGAGTCCTTCATCTTCGTGGACGAGGACGAAGATGAGGACCTGCCTGGGAGGGTGGAGGTGAGTGTGTGGAGGGGGTGGGGGACCGCACTCAGGGGGCCGGGATGTTGGGGTGCAGTGAGTGTGGCTGGGGGGCTGGGAGGCCAGGCAAGGGGGCCATAGCCACAGGGCCACAGCAACTCTCCTTGCCTTGTCCTGACCATGGGGTTGGCGGCTGCTGATACGTGGGAGGAGGGTGGGGAGGCTGGCTGCTGAGAAAGCCATGAGCTCCAGGTCGGGGGCCAAAGCACAGGAGCTAAAGGAGGTGAGGCCCAGGGGCATGGTGTCCGTGGGCGTCCAAGAGAGAGGAGCTCTAGGTGGGAGGCAGGGCGGAGCTACAGGGAGGCAGGGCGGAGCTACAGGATACCCCCGGCCCAGGCGCGCAGCGCTGGCCGCCTCTTCTGGGCACCCAGGCTGCCTGCTCTCTCCAGCCGCCCCCTCCTCCTCCTCCTCGCACCTTCCCTGTGGCCACACCGTCCCCTGAGGAGCCCAATGGGCCCTTGCCCAGCTACAAGCAGCAGCCAGAGGCCCCGGAGCCTGCAGGTGAGGTCTCCCCTCCACACACCTTCCCTCCACCTGCGCATGCTCCTGAGAGGTGTGAGGCTGGGGTGGGGGTGGGGTGCAGTCCCGATGCATTGCTTCTCTGTGTAACTGTCCCAGGGAGGGCAGGGTGGCCGTGGGGGAGTAGTGTCTGCAGAGGGGGTGTCCCGGAAGGTGCAGTCCTGTGGGGCAGAGGAACAGGGCCACCCAGAGCCCAGCCACACCCCAGGATGGGGCGTCCTGGGATGGGGGTGTCCCAGGATGGAAGTCTCCCAGGTGTCCCGGGATGGGAGTGTTCCAGGAAAGGGGTGTCCCAGGACGGGGTGTCCTGGGATGGGGGTGTCCTGGGGTGGGGGTGTCCTGGGATAGGGGTATCCCGGGATTTGGGTGTCCCAGGATGGAAGTGTCCAGGGATGGGCATGTCCTGGAATGGGAGTGTTCTGGGATGGGGGTGTCTCAAGTGTCCCAGGTGTCCCAAGATGGGAGTGTCCCAAGATGGGGTATCCTGGGATGGGGGTGCCCCTGGGATGGAGTGTCCCGGGATGGAGATGTGCCAGGATGAGGGTGCCCCAGGATAGGATTTCCCAGGATGGGGGTGTCGCAGGTTGGGGGTGTCCCGGGATGGGGTACCCTGGGATGGGATGTCCCGGGATGGAGGTGTCCCAGGATGAGTGTGTCTCAGGATGGGGATGTCTCTGGATGTGTGTGCCCTGGAATGAGGGCACCCTGGGAAGGAGGTGTTCCGGGATGTGTGTGCCCCAGGATGTGGGTGTCCCGAGATGAGGGTGTTCTGGGATAGGGGTGTCCCAGGATGGGGGTGAGCATTGCTTCTCCCGCTTTCCGTCCCTCCAGAGAGACGGCCGTCCATCTTCTGGGCCCTGTTCAGCTGCATGCTGGGCCGCGCCCGCCCCTCGAAGAAGAAAGCTGTCCAGGTGAGCAGAAGGGGGGTGGCAGGGGAGAGGGAGCCCGCCCAGGAGGAGCTACTTGTTCAGGGATCTCAAGTCAGGAGGGAGGAGACCTGTGACAGGCGTGGCAGTGGGCAGCTGGGGTTTCACCAGAACCGTGGGAGGAAAGGAAGAACCTGGGCTGTCTGTCTTCTCCAGGACTCAGCGGACTTGGTGGATAACATGTCCCCGGAAGAGGTATGTCGGGAGCGGCAGTGTGGTGGGGGCAGAAACAGCATTGTGGGTGGAGAGGCTGCTGCTTCTTGGTCCGCTTTGGCAGAGGTGTGAGCTTGGGCGGGTTGGTGTGAGGGCCGGGAGCAGTGACGGGCTGGGCCCGCTGCCGGAGCTGACCTCAGGCATGGCGGGCTTGCAGAAGGAGCCTTGGAGTCTCGCGCAGCCAAGGGTGTGTGGCTGCGACGCGGGGCCTCTGCTCACGTGGGATGTGACAGGACGGGGACAGGCTGTTCCCGAGGGACGAGCCTCACCCAAGTCAGATGGCACCAGGTGCCAGCACAAAAACACGGCAGCGTGGGAGCACAGCACAGAGACCAGCCCGGCTCCGAGGCCTGGAGGCCCCAGGCTGCGGACAGCAGATCCCGGAGACGAGGCCTGAGCAGACAGCCAGTGAAGATGCCCACAGTCACAACAGAGGCCCGAGTGGAGGTGATGTACTGAAGGCGGAAAGTGCTCCTGGGCTGGAGGAAGGCGTGGCAGGTGACGGAGAGGAGGAGCACCTTGCCTGCTCAGGGCACACGTACTTCTGCTGGAGCTTAGGGGGAAGGTGGGGCGGTGGCCAGCAGCAAAGGGAAGGGCCGCCTGCTCGCCAGGCAGAACCTCAGCGGCCCAGCCGCAGAACCAACGCAGCAGCTTGAACATACACCGAGGAAGGGAGATGCCTGGAGGCTGCTTCGTGAGCTTGGAGCCACCGTGCGGCCAGATGCCCGCCTGCCTCGCTTCCTCTCGCCGAGAAGTCCTTGCCCTCCTGCCCCCCGGGGTGCACTGACGTGCTGCAGGGATCAGTCCAGCAGGAGTCACGACGAGGCATGTGGATCATGGTTGCTGGACCGGGTCAAGAGCTCTCCCTTGCCCATCACAAGGTGGCCTGTGGGACTGTCGGCAGCATCCGTGGGGAGTGCCAGCATCCCCGTGGACTCTCGGGGGGGGGTGTTGGTGCTCCGGCCTGTCACTGCTGCTGCTTTCTCAAGCCATGGAGGACACGGACCCAACAGCGACACCCTTCTCCCCTCGTCCAGAGCCAGGGGTCCCAGGCCACGGCAGCCGGCAGCTGCACCCACTCCTGCTGTGAGCCTCGGCCCCGGCGCGTGCACGCGGCCTCGCTACCGCTCCTGTGCCACGGAGGCAGCGCTGGGCGGGCTGTGAGGACTGGGGGAAGCGGGGCAGGTGGAGAGGTGGGAATAGCGTTGGCACAGAGGAGGCATCGGCTGATGTCCACTGGGCTTGTTGATGTCGCTGTTCCTGGGGGGAGGGGAGGGGGCAAGAGGACAGGACCCACCTGACCAGGGTAGGACAGAGCCCAAGCGAGCCAGAGAGGAGAGAGGGCGGGCCACACGAGGGCTCCAGGAGCAGGGTGGGGCCTGTGGTGCCATCTTCCAGCCCAGCTGACAGATGAGGGTTTGGATGAAGTGAAGGATCATTCTGAGGGGCTGGCTGGACGGGTTTCAGGAGACACTGGCCGAGCCTGGGTGTGGACACGTGGACTCATGCTGGGGTGAGCGGCTCCGAGGACAGGAGGCATCGTCCTGGAGTCTAAACACCTCGGCCCCAGAGAGCAGCCGGCTTTGCTCAGTCCACACTAGGCTCCAGTGGCCAGGCACGGCTCTCAGGCTCAGCCAGCGTCTGCCTGCCCTGCGGGGCAGTGGCTTCATCACAGTCTGCATCAGTCAGTCCATGCCACACTCTCTCCCGGGGACTTGGTGCCTTGTAGCCAGGCCGAGACAGATGCCACTGGGAAACCGAGGACGAGCAGTGTCAGCAAAAGGGCCAGTTGATGTGTGGACGAGTGATCTGGGGGCTCAGGGAATCAGTGTGGGGGTGGTGGGGACTGGGAGGGGCGCAGGCTGGAGGCCCAGTCAAGTGCTGCCTGGCCCAGGGCTGTTGCTACAGGAGAGGAGTGGGAAGGCGGAGCGCTGGGTGGTACAGAAGGTGAAGGTGCTTGGCTCCCGGGGAAGGTGGTGGGTGGCATGCACCGAGAGGCACCTCAGGAGAAAGGCCTGATGACCTTCCGAGGCGTCAGCCGTTGGCAGCCCCGTGCAGCCCAGGTCTCCTCTGAGACGACCCACGGCCCCTGGTTGCAGTGATAACGAGGCCCACAGACGGGGCGGAAGCAGCAGGGGGGTGGGGCCCCGAGGGGGAAGATGCTGGGGTGCCTGCAGGAGAAGGTGGGTTTGAGGGTGTATGTTGGCCTCCTGCCTGCAGTGGGCGTGGGCCCAGCCAGGGCGGGAGCAGCAGGCTGTGGTGACCGCTGCGTGCCCACAGGTGGCGGCCTGGGAGCAGGAGCAGCTGGGCCAGCCCGTGTGCTTCGACCACTGCTGCATCGACCAGTCTCCGTTCCAGCTGGTGGAGCAGACCACCCTGCACAAGGCAAGCCCGCCCACCGCCCTGGGGGGTCCCGGGGGGCTGCGCACTGAACACCCTGTGCGATACAAGGCTGCTGACCCCTGCAGGGGGCACTGGGGGGGGGCTGCGCTGACCGCCAGCTGCCACGGTGGATAACGGGGCTATGCGCTGACCGACCTGCACAGGACAAGTCCACCAAGTGCCGACCCCCGACTGCACTGACTGCTGACTGCCATGGGGGGGACTGTGCACTGGCCGCTGACTGCTGAGTGGTGGGGCCTGAGGGGCTGTGTGCTGACCAGTAGTGTTCCGGTTCCCTAGTGTCACTCAGACAGGAACATACCACAAATGGAATGGCTTGAAGAAACAGGAATTTATTCTTGTACAGTTTGGAGGCTTGAAGTCAGAGTTCAAAGTGCCAAGCTCTAGGAGCTGGGTGAAAATCCCCTCAATGTTGGGGTTCAGCTGTTTCTTATGTACGGGAAGCAGACCACATACTCAAAGCAGCTACTCAGCTGCTCCAATAGATTCCACCATGGAGTTAATTACCAGTCTCATCATGGGGAATAACTACATTCAGCTGCCCAGCCACTCAACCAGGCCCAGCCAAGTTCACACACAAACGTAACCACCACAACTAACCACTACTGCAAAGGGTCTGTGCACTGACCTTGGTGTTGGGGGCGCCAAGGAGGCTGTGCACTGACCGCCCTGTGGGGGCACTGGAGAGCCCCGCACTGACCTTTGCCCTCCACCGCGCTCTGCAGACACACACGCTCTTCTCTCTCCTGGGCCTGCACCTGGCTTACGTGACCAGCATGGGCAAGCTCAGGGGCGTGCTGGCGCTGGAGGAGGTGAGCCGGTCGGCGAGGGCCTGGGAGGGATGGCCTGGCGGAGGGGCCTGTGCGCCCCAGTCCCAGGGGGTGCTCTCCCCTGGGAGGCCACCCCCGACCGGGCGCCTGGGGCTGAGTGAGGTCTGAGGCTGCGAGGAGGGTGGGGGGGCGGCCCCTGCTCTCCCACTGCCCTCTGGTGCCATCTTCCTGGGCCTGCTCCGTGGTCTGGCTGCTTCTCACCCCGCCCTTCTCTCTCCTTCCCTTCCCCAACCCCCCAGCTACAAAAGGCCATCGAGGGCCACACCAAGTCTGGGGTGCAGCTCCGTCCCCCCCTCGCCAGCTTCCGGAACACCACCTCCAGTCGCAAGACTGCTGGGGGGCCGCCCCCTCCTGCAGACGGCTGGATCCTGCCTGAGAGTGGACCTGGGGCTCTGGGGGGCCCTGCCCTCTCAGAGTCGCCGGCACCCTCGCCCTCCCCGGAGCCCCCGCCCAGCCCAACCCCACAGGGCGAGGGGGGGCTGGAGGAGCTGGAGCTGGAGGAGGGCCCAGGGCCTGAGGAGGGGCTGGCCGACATCCTGCAGGGGCCCAGCCTGCGGTCCACGGATGCAGAAGATGAGGACGAGGAGCTCATGCTCTGAGCCCCAAGGCCCCGGGCGGGCGGGCGTCGCTGGGGGCAGGGTGGGCAGCCCTTCCCGGCCCCGCGGGGAGCTGTGAGCGGGACAGCACGGGTCTAGGGGAGCATAGACCTGGGCCGGGAGCACCTGGCCGGTGCTTAGGCCCAGCCCCCTTCTCAGGCGGACGGGGGGGGGGGTCCTGAGCCCAGCAGAGGGCCCCGCCTCCACAGGGCTTCCTGACTTTCTGCTCTCCTCCCCCCACCCCCGCCCCGTGGTTCCCATCCATCACCAGATGGCTGGGCCTCCCTGTTCTCTAGTCCGGGGGCAGGGAGGCCCTGCTGACCTCTGGACAGTGCTGCATGGCCCAGGGAACCCCAGCCTCTGGGACGTACAGCCCAGAGTGACCTGCACCCGGCCCCGGGCCCCGTGAGTCCCTGCAGACCCCACCCCTCCCTCGCTGCCATCCCTGTCCGGCTTTAGCAGTGGAACGCGAACAACAGCAGACCAGGCCCAGAAGCTGCAGGAGAGAGACCCGGAGGCGCGGCTCTGTGGGGAGGAAGAGCAGGTGCCTGGTCGCCCGCGTCCAGACCGCCCCTGCGTCACTGGCCCCCTCTGGGGCAAACGCCCCTTACTGCACACCGTCCGCCTGGTGGGCAGGTCAGCGGTTGCTGCCGACCCCCACGCCTGGCGCCCTCGTGTGGTCAGAATAGAATGCACTCCCTGGGTTCCCAAGGGCTGAGTTCTTGGAGAAAGCAGGCTTTTCTTCCCGGGAGCCTCTGGGCGGGACTAGAACCTCCAACCTTCAGTCCTCAGCTGAGCAGCTGAGCATGTAACTGCCTGCATCGCCCGGGGCTCTGGTTTGCAGGCCTCCCCTCCTGCCGGCCAAGGTCGGCTCTGCCCGGAGCTGCGCACGTGCCTGGGGCCGCCAGGCAGGGCACCCCGCGGCCACGCCCCTGCTCAGGGACAGCTCCTTGCACTCCCTTTCCAGTGTGGAGGCTAGGGAGTCTAGTAGAAGTGGGGGGGCCGCTAGGTGCTCCCCGGGGGGTCAGAGCCTCCTCCAGCAGCATCTCCACGAGGCTGCCACCTCAGAAACAAAGCCGTTCCCGCGGCTCCCCCACCTGCTCCGCCTGCCGCCCGTTCTGCCTGCCCAGCTCTGAGCTGTGCCCCTCTCCCCCTGCCCCACCAGTGCCCAGCCCCTCCATGCCCAAATGAGACCCACATAGCCAGAGGATGCCACCACGCTGTTTAATGCCATCAACATCTGCCGCCCGTTCCAACATCACTCCCCCCGGCCCCCAGGGCCAGGAGAGGCTGGCCGGACAGGGGTCCACGCCCGTGTACACAACCTCGAGTATTGGTGTATGTTTATATAGACTTCTCTCTGTAATATATGGCGTGGAATCTCTCTCGGGCCTGGGTGGGAATGTCGCGTTAAGAAAACATGCGAAGACTGGCCATAAAAGTGGGTGTCCCCAGACCTGGAAGACGGCATGAGGGAGGTAGAGGTGGGGTGAGGTGGGGTGATAAATGCACCCCAAGATCCCTCCTTAGCACAAGGATCAGAAGGAAGGTGGGGGACAGGGAAGGAAGAGACGGGCGATTTGGACTTGAATAAAGTGAACTGATTAAAAGTGCAGCCCATCCCCCCAAAGAACGCCACTTAGCAAGAGCGGTCCAGTCACAAAAACAAAACGCAGCCCACCCAGGACGCCGTGAGATGCACCACAGCCCCCCCCAGGAGAGCAGCCCCCCACCCCACAGCCGTCCTGCACATGCCCCTCCCCCAAATAGAAGCAAACCCCATGCACCTAGCCCCAGCACCAGGGGGCGCCCCGCTAGCTCCTGCTGCCCCCCGGTCTCCCCGGGAGGGCCTGTCAGGACACAGGGGCAGTGTCCCGGGATTGGCACCACCGCAGCCCCTCCCTTCCTCAGCTCCCCAGGCCCTGGGAGAGCGGGGCTGGGCAGACAGTGGGGCACAAGGGGTGAGGCGAGGAGGGACAGGTGATGAGACGGGCAAGGGGAAGGGGTGGCAGGGGCCCAGGTGGGCAGGCTGATGGGTCTGCAGCGCCCCTGGAGTGGGGTCCCGGGCCAGCGGACACGCTGTTCAGGCAGCAGCCGGCGAGGCTGTAACTGCGCCCCCACCTCCGCTCCCCATGCCCACTCCTGCTTCCAAGACCCTTCGGGACCCTAATGCCCGCTGCATCTCAGGAGTTGTGATGACAGGGCAGGCGGGGGGGGGGTCACAGAATGGCAGAAACAGCCCAGGAGGGGGCGCAGTCGAGGGACAGACACCTGGGGTATTCGGGCAGGAAGGGACTCAGGGAGTCGGAGTTGAAGCCCCAGGTGGCTGTGAGGAAGGGAGAAGTGGTGCTGGATCTGTCGGCCGTCTCCTTCCCCCTCTCCTTCCAAGCTCGCCTGAAGAAGGGGGCTGCAGCGCAGAGGGCCAGGCCAGGCCTGCCCCTGCCATCAAGATCTGCGGGCAAGTGCCGGGTGTCGGAGTCCTGGGCAGCCTGAGGGGCGGGGAGCTGAAGGCCTAGGAAGAGCTGAGGGCCACACTGCTCCTGGGGACACCCACCAGCAGCCCTGGCAGCACCAACTCCGCCCTGACCCCCTTCAACCCTGAGTCCCCAAGAAGTTATAAAAACGTAGAAAAGGCCAAGAGAAAAGTGTAAACGGCTCCGGGGAGTACGGGGCGGGGGACACGGCAGCCCTCATGCTTAGCCCTGGCCGGGACGCCCGGGGTCCACATCAGCGAAGCAGGGGCCGGTGGCCCTCACCCCCAGGGCGGGCTTCCCAGAGCAGGTGGGGGCCAGGAGAGCAGGAGCAGGGAGCCGGCTGGGGCCCTCACAGACCCACAGCCGGCCTTCCAGCCGGAGGACGGTCAGACCCCCACGGGCCTGGCGGTGCCCACGGCCACTGTGATGGTCCTGTCCTTGTGAAGCCCGCTCCAGGTCTCCCCTCCCGGACCCCACCTCAGCCACCCACCTGCTGCTGAGGGTGGGCTCTTCCCCTCCAGGGAGATCTTCCCTGGGGGGGGGCAGCCGTGCCCAATGAGCCAGGGCCACAGCCAGAGACGAGGCCAAGTCCAGGAATGCGCGAGCGGCGGGGGAGGGGCGATTGGCAGCCACAGGCAAGGGTCTTGGAAGACTCTATGGGCAAAGGCTGGGGTCAGGGTCCTGGCGGCCACCCGCCTTGGGCCACAGGCCCCGGCCTCGTGGAGGTCACTCTTGCGTGGTCTGGGTCTCCGTTTCCACGTGCAGGGCACAAAGCCTCCTGGGCCACGCCCTCTGTGTGCTGTTAGGGCACCACAGGGAAGGTGGTGTGCCGCCGCCATGCCTGGGGGAGGCAGGGCCCCGGGGGGCTAGTTGTTGGCCTCGCCCTCCTCCTCGTCAAAGGACTGCACTCCTGAGGATGTGACATCAGACACCTTGCGGCTGAGGGCAGTGGACACCTCGGGGTCCTCCCGCGGGGACAGCGACTCCAGGTCCCGGCACCCCGCGTCTTCCTCCTCCTCCTCGGGTCCCAGCGGCCTCTTCTCCTGGCCCTCCCGCTCTTCCTCCTCCTCCTCTTCGGCAGGGACCCCAGCCAGGTCCACAACGCCCCCACTTGGAGCCCAGTCCGAGTCCATCCCCATCAAAGGTGGGGGTTCCTGGGTGGAGCAGCCTGAGGCTGGGTGGGGGGGCCCCATCTCGTGCAAGCTGGGCTGGGAGTCATTGAACGCAGGGCCGAGGTAGGAACCGGTGGCAGGGGAGGCGATGAGAGACTGGTCACTAGCCTCCCAGGCGTCTGATGAGCCCAGACAGTACATGCCCTGGGACACGTAGGAATGAGGCCAGCCATCCATGGGAGCCTGGGTCAGGGCGTCTGCAAAGAGATTGGGGTGGGGGGGTCAGGGGCCACAGAGCAGCAACTAGGGTACACAGGGAGAGACCCCAGGGCCCAGAGCTGGCAGGGCAGGGATGCAGAGAGGATCAGCACCAAGGCAGGTGGACACTGCGGGGGGGCGTCCCTCCCTAGAAGGAAAGGGGGCTTGGAGGTCTCCGGGCTCACCCTGGCTCTCCATCAGCTCCTGGTAGTTGTCGCTGTAGTTGCAGCCCAGTTGCTCTTGGGTGGAGTTGACACTCATGTCCTCACCATCCATGGATGACCAGGCCATGAGCGTGGCTTCAGAGATGGCAAACTGCTCCATGACACCTGAGGAGAGACGGGCATGGTCGGTGTGCACGATCCACCAACCACTCATGAGCCACCGGCCACGCAGGAACAGCACCTCAGTGGGACAGACACAAGACACCAGCCACACATGAGCCACCGCCACTCATGAGCCACCAGCCACACAGGAACGGCACCTCAGTGGGACAGACACCGGACACAAGCTGTTCATTTGTCTTAAACTGTCTACGAGCCATCTTAAAGGACATTGAAAAGGACCAGATGAACCTAACTTAGCAATGCATCTTATCTAACCCAACCTACATAATGTCAATGTGTAATTGATACAAAAATCAACGAGACAGTTCACAGTCTCTCTGTTGCGCTCCATCTTGAAATCCTGTTGATATTCACACTGACAGTGCGGCCCCACTCCCTGTGGCCACATGGCCAGTTCGCAGTGACCACATGAGGCCAGTGGCCACCCCACTGGACAGAGTAGGCTTCGTTTATGCCCCGAAACAAGCAGAAACGTGTGGACCTCCCAGAAGGCCACGTTTAGGGTTCTGGGGGAAGGAGATGGGGTTCTTCTGGTGAAATGCCACAAGGGATGGAAGTTAGCCATTTCCAGAAGGCCATCTTGGAAGTAATTAGGAATGGAACTAGAGTTGGGTGGTCATGGGCCGTGGAATCAGGACCAATGGAAAATCCCCAAAGGGGCACCATGGGTGTGTGGGTCTGCACCGATGTGAAGCTGACAGTCTGAGAGACTGGAAGGAGGAGGGAGAGAGAACAAGGCGGATGGACAGACTTGGGGTCCCTGTTCCAGTTGGTGTCAGGAGTGCGTTGGAGCTCGTGTTGTTAGCTGCCTTACCCTGGCCCTGACTGGTTTATCTCCCCTCCCTTACCACCACACCACCACACAACATGCCCTCCCTTCCTCCTCAGACCTACCACCCTCCCTTGGTGCCTCACTGAGACCTCCACCCCTGTGAGGACACTATATGGCTGTCATCAGACCTAGACTGCTTCTCTGGAACAAAGCCTCTCCTGGAGACTGTCCCTCATCAGCCGGTCCCGATTGTCCGGTGGAAGTCACAAGCCGGGTCCAGGAAGGGCCAGGGCTGGGCTAAGGGGCAGAGGCTGGAGGAGACCCTCACAGCCTTCTTCACTCTCCTCAAGTGCGAGAGGCAGCAGAGCCTTCCGGAGTCCCGGGCCTTGCCTGCGTTTCCTTCCCCATGGCAGTACAGGGCGGACAGTCCCGCCAGCTAGGGGGAAGGCATCTGGGACAGGCACACGTCTTATCCCATTCCAGTTATCATGTTTGAAGATGATAATAAGTTGAGGATACTTAGAAGAATAAATAAGTCAAATACTAAAACTAGGGCTGTTTGGGAAATGTGGGTCTTACAGTCACCATGTGGGTAGGCCAATGCTACTCTGAGGGATCAGGTTGGAGGGTCAGTCTATAGTCACCCCAAAAAGCTGTCCCTCAAGGGCCCAGGGAGAAGTACCTGCTAGGAAGCGGGCCTCCTTCTCGCCATCACTGAGGTCCGAGTAGGCATCAGTGTCTCGGCGCACGGCCTCATGGCTGTGCTGGGGCTGGATGGTGGGGGTCTTCCCCCAGCCCTGCCACTCGATCATGTGGGCCACCCGGCCCTGCCCCATGGCTGTGGGCTTTGTCACATGGTCCTTCATGCTTCGAGAGATCCCTGCAGGACCAGACAGTCCCAAATCATCCAGAAGAGCTCACAATACCATACCAGACCCTCCCATCCCATCACCGGGAACCCCCCCCCCACTACACAGGGGCAGCATCCCTAGGACTGCACTGAGGGCAGCCTGGGGATGGAAGAAGGCTCGGTGGGAAGGACAGACGGGTCCAGGATGTGGGGTGGCTTGGAGGAGCAAAGAGGTGGGCAGGAGTCCCGGGTGCTCGCTGGGCCGAAGCACCCCAGGGAGGAGGTTCACCTGAGAATGATGACTTGGCCAGGGCCCCGATGCCGTAGGCATTTGAGTGTCGCTTGAGCTTCGGGAGGATAGAAGTGGTGTCCTCCATGGAGAGCTGGTGGGGCAGGTGGGAAGAGGGCACAAGGATAAGGGTACCGGGAGGATGCCTAGCCTCCAGCCAGAGGAGCTGAGCCAGAGCGGGGGGGGAAGGCGGAGCGCAACGGAGGCGCGTCCCCCAACCGCTCTGGATACCTCTGGATGCGGGACGGACAGAGACGCTGGGGCACACTGTGTTCTCTGAAGGTGAGGGGAGTTGGCAGGGACTGGGGGCCAGGGCTGCACTCACATTGATGACGTCCCAGGAGAACTCTGTCCGGGTTTGCTGTGAGGACAGAGGACAAGGGCGTGGATGTCCCAGGCACTTCCCAGCAAGGGACCCCATCTCTCTTAAGGAGCTTCCTCAAGGTGTGAAGGAGGGTTTTCTTGAGAGCAACAAGCAATGGGGTCTTGGGGTGGAACATTTGAGGGAAGTAGGAAGATGTTCTGGGATAGTGTCAGGCTGTAGGAACATTTGAGGTGTTGCCTTGGAATTAAGGGAGCTAACTGGAGGGTCAACGAAAAAGGGGAAGGCCCTCAACGAGATGGACTGACACCGTGGCTGCAGTGATGGGCTCAGGTATAGCAGGGACCGTGAGGCCGGCCCAGGACCGGGCAGTGTTTCGTTCTGTTGTATGGAGGGTCGCTATGAGTCAGAGATGACTCAACGGCACCTAACAACACCAACTGGAAGATAAGAAGCCCTAGTGGCACAAAGGTTTACACTTGGTGGCGAACTGAAAGGTTAGCAGTTAGAAACTACCCACCAACTCCGAGACAGACCCGGCCATCTGTTCCTGTTAAGATTACAGACTAGGAAACCCTATGAGGCAGTCGTACTCCATCACCTGGGGGCACTATGAGTTGAAATCAGCCTGACGGCACACAGCAACTGGAGGGTCAGGCAGCTAGGGCCTCCTGGGGTCTCTGGAGGTGTCTGGGGCGAGCGGTGAGGTGGGGCTCACCTCTGTGGACGGTCGGTGGACGCTGCTCCCCTGCAACGAGCTGGTGCTGTCCATGGGGATCTGGTCAACATCCTTCAGGCCCTTCCAGTCCACTGCGATCACCTCATTCCCTGCAGGGGAGAGTCGGCCACCTGCACACGCGCAGGCCTTCCTGGGCCAGCCCCCCACCACATTACTGTTCCTTCTTCTGACCACCTGTTTCCTTCCCCATCCCGCCTGTCCCCATGATTTTTGTGCGAGGAAGAACAACGCAAAGCCAAGACAATGTTTTCCCTCAAGCAAGCAGAGCGCACCCAGGAAAAGTGTCATATGGCCTTTTGTCTGTTGTTTCAGAGAGGGGCAGTGATGGAGACAATTCTCCCTTCTGTCCTGAGGGTGGGGCAGGCCTTTCTTCTGTGAAATTGCTACCTCAGGGGGTAGGTGCCCTGTCGTAGGCGTTACTCTGTGTGTAGTGAGAGGAATGTGTCTTCCTAGGGGACCCGCTCTAAGCCTTGATGAATTTGTGGGAGTGGAAGGAGATTTGGTGGAGACAGAGGCAGGAGACAGGGAGCAAGGAGTGAGGGCCATCAGGAGCAGAGGGCAGAGTGAGGGCAGAGTGTCCCCCAGAATGGGATGGAGGTGGGGCCACCAGGAGCAGAGGGCAGAGTGTCTGCCAGCACAGGATGGAGACAGGGCCCCCAGGAGCAGAGCGTCCCCCAGCATGGGATGGGGTCCCCCAGAATGGGATGGAGACAGGGCTGCTGGAAGCAGAGGGCAGAGTGAAGGCAGAGTGTCCCCCAGAATGGGACGGAGGTGGGGCCACCAGGAGCAGAAGGCTGAGTGAGGGCAGAGCCATCCCCCAGCATGGGATGGGGACAGGGCCCCCAGGAGCAGAGCGTCCCCCAGCATGGGATGGGGACGGGGCCACCAGGAGCAGTGTGCCCAGTGGGATGGACATGTTCTCCCTGACTGGGGAAAACAAAGACTGGGCTGAAGAGGTGGGCACTGGAGAGAGAGGGAGAGGACTGTATAAAGCAGGAGTTAAACAAGGAAATTCAAGGCAGAGAAGACAAGGGGAGAGAGGAGGTGTTTGGGTGCTGCTGGTGGTGGTGGCGGGGTGATTCCTGGGGAGAGCTGCTGCAAGCCTTGAGGAGGACCCTGGTGGTTGTGAGGGGCATCAGATGGCTGCCTGGACCACCTGCCCTTGGACGCCTCCTGCACAGAAGCAGCTCTAGGATTCCAAGCCGGGATCAGGGGCCACTCTAAGATTCCCAGCCGGGATCAGGGGCCACTCTAAGATTCCAAGCCGGGATCAGGGGCCACTCTTGGTCCTCAGCTTGCAACCACACAGTTGGTGTAAAGGAGAAGGGTTGAGGCCCAAGACCCCTGAAAGCGGGCCACTCTCCCCGGGGGCAGTCACGCCAGAGGCTGGGGCTGCTACGGAGAGGCCAGATGGGCACCTGGCAGATGAGCAGGACCGGGGCTGCCACCTGGGGAAGCGCTGGGGCAGCGGTGGGAGGGGAGGGGGCGGCCTGGAGTGCGGAGGGAGCGCTGAGTCAGAGCTGGGGGCAGGGGAGGGAGGGCCGGGAGAAGGGGTGACGGCGGGCGGAGGGTAGCCATGGAAATACATCGGGGCTCGGCGAAGCCGGGCTGCCAGGGAGCGCGTTGGTTTGTATTAATAACACGAATTATTCCCTCAGCCCGAGGTCTCCGAGGCGTGTAGGCGGGAGAGACTGGGTGTCGGCATGGGAGCCTGGGGGCTGGGAGGGGGCAGGGATCACTGGCGAGTTGCGGGGTGCGGGGGTGCAGGGGGCGAGGGTCAGGGGCGGGAAGAGCCGGGAGGAGGCGCCGGCTTCGCTGTAAACACAGGCCCAGCCCGCGGACGAGTGCCATCGCCCCGGCGCGTTCAGGTCCCTCCGGCCCCCGCCGCTACCCGACCCCCAGCCCGCTCCTGCCCCCGGCCGGGGCGGGGAGCAGGGAGGACGCCCCGGAACAAAGCGAGCGGGGCGCTGCACGGAGCGGCGCGGAAGG